TCTGTAAACTGACCTGAGGATCGTTTTGCATTGCATTTTGGGCAGTAGAGGCTTCCGGTCTTATTGGTGCTGCTCTACGGCGTCTTGGGATTGCCCATGTTGCCGCCCTCCTTGTAAGTTCGGGAATTCTTTCTCCCGTACGTCACAGTTTTTCCGCAAGTGCCCAGGCTTCTTACCGTGCCTACACACCGGCTCATTATTACAGTCCGTGAAGATGTGTCCGGTTTGTAGGCATCTTCCACATGTGGGGGTATAGAGCTCTCTGGGTAAAAAAGTCTTGCATCTTTGCCCCTCTATGATTATAAAGTCCGGTAAACATTCCTTTTTAAAGTTATCCATTAAAATGACGTATAGCCATTGTACACCTGTGTGCCTCTGTGATAGTTCCTTACTGCGCTTATGATTCTTCCACATCCAAGGTTATTGATAATAGCTGACGCTTTTGCATACAATGTTTCATGCAGTATGTCTCGAATGGAGATTCGAATTGGGGCTTTATTTGGCAGGGATCCATTGTTATGTCCGACGCTTTGATTATTCCACCGGTGGCCAATAGAAAGTCTTCGCGGCAGCTCGTAATCGGTGACTCCGTGGCGGCAAAGGTCAGGATCCATACTCCCTTCCTACCTTCATATAGCCCTACCATTTGTTGTACATATTCCCGTGGAGCAGTGTTATCCTTTAATATATCCATAATTCCTGTGAAATCTATATCACGATCTGTTTTCAAGAATAGTGTCCGAGGTCTTTTCTGAGTTGAGGTTGTAGTATCCAGAGTTGTTGAGTTGGCAGCAGCTGCTGAGTAGGCCATATTGTCCAGTTGTATGATATAATAGTTAATCCGAGTAAACTCCCTAATTCTTTTCTGATTTATCTTCAAGAGATAATCAAAACTCTCACAGAACTGTTGTAAAGCTGATGGAGACGCAATAAAACACAGACGATAGCAAACATCTTAATTAAACAGCAAATAGTCACCGCCGCGCGTAAACACGTCCTCACTCCATGGCGAATTGTGACAGTTAGACCGATATCCTCGTTTTAATTTTAAGGTTTCGCAATATGACATAATTCTGCTTTTTTTTGTTGACTTCGGTATTAGGATCGACGTCGCTATTCAAATAGCGAATATCGTCTTAAAATACATGCTACCAATTATGGTGGTTCGTTGTAATAAAGGTTAAAAATTAATTTTATATCCAGTCGCTAAATTATGAGTTTGTGACTTCGCAGAAGCATTTTCTTTAAACGAAATCATAATATATAAAATTGATAATTATGTTATGCAAACTTTGCGAACAATCATGCGGACCGATTTTGTGAATGGCTCTGTGTTGTCTACTCTAGAGTCTAAGACTGTTACAGTAAAGGTTTTTACATGGGTGGGCAATTATAGCCCGATTGCCTGATTTGGCCCATTGCCATTACAGTGTTTCATCTGATCTACTTTTTTCTGCTGAAATTATGACTATACTTTTTCTGGGTATGAATTTCTGATGAAAATAAGTAAAGATATTACCTGTAACTGGCCCACTCCGAAAAGTAATTTCCCCAAATTTCAAAGCGTTTCCATGTATATTGTTCCTATCCCTTTGCCCCCAATAAACTCGTTGGTATGTTTATTCACGATTAAACCATAAATTTTATGATCGACTGTCAGTTAAGGGAAGGTCGGTACCGTTACTGTAAATCAAAACGTAAAACAGACAAAGTTTATCCGTAATAAAACCTCAACAATATAGCTTGTCTATCAAGTCAAGAACTTCGTTTCATTGGCTAGTCAAAGCAGTAAGGCAGACATTTTAGTTGAGTGTCAATTGACTTGCAGACAGAAGTAGTGGGGAGAAGAACATGGGTCTTGTGACAGAGTTGTAAAGTGACGTATCGCATGGGGAAAATCCGATCGTCTGTTTCTTTTCTCTTCGACATGATAAGAAAAAGAAAATTCATCTCGTAAAATAAACTTGGTAATAATCCTTGATTGTGGTAGTTATGAAAAGTCGTCTTATTTAGGTGAGCTGGTGACAGACAAAGTTGTGTGATACGTAATGATTTTGATTTTATTTTTAGCTTAGCAATGAGCAGTAATTAGTGTAAGTGTGAATCGAAGTGCGGTGGTATAACCCACAATTTTTTTTTTGAAAAAACATATATACAGGGTGTCCAAAAAATTTCGCCCCATTTCATATAGTAATAACATTCAAAAATTTCTTTGTCTTTGTTTATTAATAGTTGCTATTGTGCTTGTTGTTCTCTTTTATCATACAATGAAATTAATGAGAACTTAATATTGTTATTACTACAAAATTAAGCAAAATTTTTTGAACATTTTGTAAAGATATAGCCAAATTTATAAAAGGCTGTGCCTGTACGTTTGGGTGACGCATTCAGCGTTTAAGAAATGACTCATGTCACCATACAAATTATATATTGAAATTGTATTAACGAGGCGCCTTCAAAAACCTTTCACATAATGTATCTAGCCTGAGATTTTCGTCGGACCAAAATCAGACTTCCGCAGACAATCAGTTTACAAAATGTTGAATTTAGAAACTCCTTATCAGAGGAAGATTTTGGTCAGACCAAACGTTACAGAAGTACATTGATGTTAGTGTGCAGCAGGACAGTTGAATCGCCTAGGATTTATTAGGATAGAAAATTCAAACACTGATGACATTTTATAGTTACTTTGTCCAAACCATTTTCAGTTTCATACGAGCATAGTTATAAATGAATCGGACTGCTACAACAGGTATTGTACGCAGACATACGTGGACTTAAAATTAAACCCATACGTTGTGCTTTATTTGTGATGAGTTGCCAATTTTCTATAAAATACTTTTCAAGTAGCATATTATGGTGTATTAGTATTAGTGTAAATTCCATAACATTTGGCACACCCCAAGTACACCCTATTGATGTGGTACACTCTTTAAAAGTGTGTACAGTCAGGGCTGAAGGTACTATACACCCGATTGACAAGCACTACATTACTTTTGTATGACATGCTGAGTTGGTTTGAAAAAATCGCTGATATCGGCCCGGGAAACATCCATCCCCCTTAATAACAGAGAGAAACCATAGTTTTAAAACTTTATTAGAGAGTGTCTTATTGTGTCTTTGATATATACTCTATAGTCTATAGCATGAGACAAAATTAAAGTAAAGCAGTTAATAATAAAAGATATTTTATTGAATGGTATCCTAGTTTTGGTCTATTTTGTATATAACGAGTCGAAATGCGTTAAATAATGTGATTTAGGAATATTTATTAAGACATAAGTATCAATTTGTTATAAGCTTGTAGTGCTTAAACATATATATATATTGGTTTACAAGATACCAGGACGTGAATAGATAGGTACACAATGATCTGAGCAGGGTGGAGCGTACTATTGCAACATGCTTGCTTCTCAATATGTCAAGTATGGAGTATGTTTTAACTGCGCTAATTACATGCGATTGCTGCTTGGTCGTATATACGTCATAAACTAATGATTAACCGAATGTTTTAAACAGTATTGACTCAGGAGCGGGATAATGCTTTGTTGGTCACGCAAGACTTTGGACACTCTTTTTGATTTGTATTTTTTATTACTTGGACCAGCAGTAATTCTTGTACTAGGACAGTGGTTACCAAACTTTTTAGAGTTGGCACCCACTATTTATTACCACAGCTTATGGCGACCCACTTAACTTTTTATGACATAATACAGAACACAGTAATGGCTAATCATCGCAAAACTACCGTGTTTTCTCGAAAATAAGACCTGGCCTGGAAATAAGACCTAATTTGGATTTTAAAAATGCATTTAAATAAACCCTACCCGGTGCTCCGGAGTATGCAAACCAAGATGGCGGACATCGGAACGTAACATGGGTAACAGGTTAGGGTTAGGCGATAATTTTTTTCCAATTTCCTTATTTTAGTCCTATTATCAGTTCGAAGACTAGCCAAGAGCCTCCCGTAGTATTTATACCTAAAATTATGGCCTAACCCTAACCTAGTACACACATTACATTCCGATGTCCGCCATTTTGGTTCGCATACTTCGGGAGCCACCCCCCCCCCCCCCCCCTCCAACCTAAATAAATTTAAAATGTGTGGGAGAGGGAAGGTTCAATGACCTGAGGTGAGGTGAAGATCACACCATTATTCAAGATTGTGTGATGTCACAATCACAATTTTGATATTGTCACTTGATTTTTGTATAAGAAATACAAATCAAAACAATGGATGTCGGTTTTTATATAATGTTCATTAAAAAATCTCGTGATTTTCTACAATGTAATTTTATTTTTGATAAATGAACACAAAATACCTCTTCCAAAAAAAACATAGTGTTATTCTTCAATAGAAAATAAATCTAAATTCTGTAAAAAATTTGGGGAAACGCGGTAACAAGCGCTGTACAGTGTACAAAACTGCTATGCGTAAAAAAGTCACATGGTCCTAAAAAGGAAACTTTCACAGATTAGAATTTTAATTCAATTTAATTTCTTTTTTTTAAGGTTTACCTATTCGAGTTGCAACCGACCAGAATAATTACCAGTATAATTAATCAAAGCTTTCTACATCTTTTCACGACCCACTAAGATTCCTTTTGGGACCCACCAGTGGGTCGCGACCAATAGTTTGGGAACCGCTGTACTAGGATATTACTAGGATTCTAGTTTTTCTAATCAGTCTGTCATTGTTAAAGACTGTACAAATGAATTATACCGGCATTTCATACTTATATAAATGCACTGTGCCGGATGTCGATGTAATAATAACGCGAAAATATCATTCATTCATAAGTTTCCGAAAGGGTCAAAGGTGAATCGAATTCTTTCCCATATGTCATCTTTTACCTAATTTATCTATCGCAATTTTAAAATTTTCGTTCTCACCACGAATCAGACATTAGCATCACTACCAATACTTTGTGACTGGGATTCATCTTTATCAAATGCATCCCCCTTTAACAACTTCAAATACTATATATTCAACAGTTACTCGATATCCTAACAATTACGATTTAGACTTTAATAATGAAGGTCATTGGAATTGATCTTGGTACATCAAATTCTTGTGTTGCTGTGTACAAGATAAATCAGGTATTTTTGCAGTTCTTATATTTTGTAAATTAACATAAATATTTAGATTTGTTTGTCTTCGAAAGTTCACGCAAAAACTTGACCAGGCATTCTCCTACTTTATAAGATGCGCCCTTTTTTTGAATTTGTCAAAAATACAATATACAAAAATAAGTAGTTAACAATAAGCTACAAATAACATATATTAAAGTAAAAGTATGTTTCATTAAAAAACATGTTGAAAATACCTGGATGAATCGTTAATATTTATATTAAAAAAATATCCAAAATAAAAAGGGCAAAATCAAATCTCTAAAATATTTTTATTTTCAACCAACGTCACGCCCCTTCAAAATGTTTACGCCCCTCTTGTGTGGCGCGCCCAACGCCTTGAAAACGACTGCAATAGACGGTACCAAAAAAGTATCATTTCAATGTAGATAGAAATTATTGACAACGACCAAGGAGAACGCGTAACTCCATCATGGGTGTCATTTACAGACGATGAGAGACTCATAGGCAATGTTGCCAAACTAGAAGTATCAAGCAATTTTGAGAGAACTTTATTTCGTAAGATAGTTTGTTACCTTTATACTTGACTTGACAAATATATTGTATAAATTTATTTACAACTTGGCACAAAACAAATCCTAATCTGGCAATGTTTGTATCAAATATGCTTAATAATGAATAAACTATTATGAAACGATAAAATATCATTAATAAATTAGAATTATAGAAATAAAAAATATATCGCCTATTTAATCCATTTAGCTGTTAATTCATTTTCTGTTTTAATGTTCATATTTTATCGTAATTTTCCAATTGACAATTAAGTTTGAAAATTGTTAATGTCCTAATTCCAACCTCCGAGATTTGGTGCTGACAAAGATTATGCGTTATTCGTACGAGAAACATTTCGAGCAGAAATTGGATCATGGAAATGTTTCTGGTTATTGATTAATATGTTTTTACTAACAGACTTATCACAAAATTTATGCACTATCTCAAGCTGTTGAACACTATTTGTAGAATTGCAAGAAAACCAATGGTTTTTGTAATTCAGAGATCAAGCGTTTAATTGGTCGTACATACGATGATCCAATGGTGCAAGCGGACATGAAGTTGTGGGGATTCACTTTGATTAATGAAGAAAATAAGCCAAAGATATCGGTAATGAGATATCTATTGAGCCTTTCGAACGATTTCAGAATAATTAGAAAAAAAACAAAAATTATCAATGTGCATTTCAGATTGAACATAAGGGCCGCCGCAAAATATTAGCCCCGGAGGAAATCAGTGCAATGATTCTCGAATCTCTTAAGACATCTGTTGAAGATCGTCTTGATGAAACAATCACAGACGCCGTAATAACCGTTCCTGCATATTTTAATAATACTCAACGCAACGCAACCATAGATGCAGCACGAATAGCTGGACTTAACGTTCTGCGTGTGATTAATGAACCGACTGCTGCTGCGATCGCTTATGGATTAGAGAAAGAGGTTCGAGTTTTTGTTTCAAAACAGCAAACTTTTTCGTTGCTTTAATAGGTAAAAACGTAAAAAATACGTGAATGGAATAGCAATCTCCAGAAAATAAAAAAGGAAAATATCCAAAATTACGCGCGGTCAAATCCAACTAACCAATCATTGTATTTTGAATTAGCTTCTCGAACCCCCTCCCCTTCGTCATGTTTTTGCCTCCACGTTTGGAAACCACTGCAATAGATAATGTCGAATTTGATTTACCGCCTCGTTGTTTTATTTTGACAAAATTTAATAATGTCGTTATTGCTTCTTCAAACAGTAGCAAAATTCAGTATTTTATTAGGTAAACCAATAGTCGCAGAGCCACCAGTTTATCTCACGCAGCCCTATTAGAATATAATGACGACACATAATGTATTGCCGTTTAGCTCGTTTTTGTTTTGATTTTTTTTACATAAACATAAATAAATTCTAACGTCAAACATTAAATTTAGACCAACGAAGAACAGAATGTTCTTGTCTTTGACCTGGGAGGTGGAACTTTTGACGTCACAATTGTTAAAATCAAGAACAAAGAATTTGACGTCAAGGCAACAGGCGGTGATACTCACTTAGGAGGTAATACCATACTGGGATCAAATTAATTCAATAAATCTTTATCTTTAAAATATATTAAACTTTGCACTCTATCAAACTTTGCTGATCCTTGTTCGTGCATTTTTAACATTTCACAGTAGTCGATACATTCTCAGCACTTAACATGCTATAGAACAGTGGTTTTCAACATTTTTTCAATGAAACAATTCAGAGGCACTATGAACCCTTTTTTAGTAGTTCAATTGCTTCTTATTGTTTGGATAGTATAAAACTATAAATAAATACAAAACAAAAACCAAATATTTCCAAAAAAGTGTAGAAAGTTTAAAACTAGCTGAAAACTGAATATATATTCCAATATTTTTATACGATATTCATACATATATTGGAATAGTAATAGGACTCTAATATTCAAATGAAATCTTGCCAAACCTCGGTTTAAAATCACTGCTCTATAAGTATAATATAGTTTGTTATGGTCTTGCTTCCTGTAAAATTCAAAATCTATATATTAGGTGAAATGATAAATGCTTTGGCTAAATCCTGAAATAAATATTCATAACCTGCGGAATGTTTATATTCAATAACAAATACGATAAACATATTACCTACAAATCATTAATCACTTTACTATACTTATTTAATCAGGTGATGATTTTGACAATTGCATGGTGAACCATTTTGTCTCTGAGTTCAATCGTAAAAATGATTGCGATATGTCTCCAAACAAACGGGGAATAAATCGACTACGTATCGCTTGTGAAAATGCAAAGAAGAACCTATCTGTGAAGAAAAATGCAACGTAAATATATTAAATTTGGATTATATGGAGATTTAATTCAAGGGGGTAGGAGGAATATGATCGTCATATAAACAAGCCGTGATGGGAGTATCTGTACTTACCAATTACCAGGGTGGATGTGGACTCGATATGAACGCGACACTTGTGGGTCTTCATTTGGTTATATATGGGGAGGGGAAGATCTTCATATGGTTCATATTTGACGTTAATTCTAGAAACCATGTTTGACTGAAGGGTTACATGATGTAAATGTTTTCTATCTTTCTCGCTTTAGACTTCCTTCCTGTATAAACAATAGATATCAAATACCAAATAGGAATAACCAAATAATGTGAAACAATGTGTTGAATCACTTCGCGACTAAAAGTCATAATTATTATTGAATATTTTAACATTTTATTGCAGAGTTCAAGTAGATGGGCTTCACAGCGGTATCGACTTTAAAAGTTCCATCACCAGGGCAAAGTTTGAGGATCTTAACCGTGATTATTTCGAAAACACTCTCAAAACTGTAAAAGACACACTTTTAAGTGCTGATATGAATAAAAGTGAGGTAGGTAGCAAGAACGAATTGGTTCATATATTCTGGTAAAAATATTAGAAAATCATTTTTGAATTTCAATATTTATAAAAATTCAATATAAACAATTTCAAGGGTTTTAATTGGTAATTGTATTTTCTAGGTTTGTATAGAGTTGAGTATTTCACGATTTACTATTTTTAAGGTTTAAATTCCTTTCTATGCTCCAAATTTAGTATATTTGTTTTTTTTAGATAGATAAGGTTGTGCTTGTCGGTGGATCTACACGAATTCCAAAAGTGCGAGAGTTATTACAAAATCTTTTTGGAGAAAATAAAATCAACAAAACTGTTAATCCAGATGAAGCAGTTGCGTATGGAGCGGCAGCATTGGCTTCTAACATATCCAAAGATGAATTATCTGAGGTGAGGTTGATCGGGAATACAACTAAAGTACTTTCCCAATGGTGATAAATTAGGACTTTGCGTCAAAGGTACATTTTATCACGAACTTTTAAGCACAACTTGTTTACCGCAATATGTGCATTCGCAAAATAATGTCTGTTTTTGTATTTTGAATATTTAGAAATGACGTGTTAGAGTTTACAAACAGGATAGTTATACAGACTAAACTACTATATTCAAATAACGCAGTTAAGAGAGTTGAAGATCAGTGACGTTGTTCCGCTGTCACTTGGGTATAAACAAAGTGGAGGAGGCATGGTTACTGTTGTGAAACGTAATACAAAAATACCAACGAAACAATGGAACAAAAATTCGACAGCCAAAGATAATCAAATAGAAGCAAGATTCACCGTGAGTGAACAGACTAAATAATTTTCGACTAAAATGTACGAAAATATTTTTATCCGTTATATTCGCGATTTGTTAAGATATATGAGGGCGAACGAGCCGCTGCGAAGGATAACCATTTTCTTGGAAAGTTCTCCGTCAAAGGCATACCTGCGGCTTTACGAGGAGTTGAAAAATTCAAGACGTGTTTTATCGTAGATGAAAACGGAATTCTTACTGTGACTTCTCGCAATGTCAGCACTGGAAAAGAAAACCAAATCACATTTGATAAGAGCGGAAAGCTCAGTGAAGGAGAACTCAGACGAATGGTTTGCCAATCTTGCTATTCCAAAATTTTACAAATCTAAATAGACAGCAGAACTTTGCTTTGTTTTGTTTACATATTGAATACAATCAGGCACAAATTATGGCTTGCAAATCTGAGTCAAGTTTGTGACTCGCTAGGGCAAATTTGTCAAAATGTGAAATTCTCTTTCTGGTATTTAAAATAGGGTTTTATATTTTCAAACTCTGCATTTACTTTTCTAAAAATAATTTTATATAATGTTATACAGTTAGAAGATGCCAACAGATTCAAACAAGACGATGCCGAGTGGAAAGAACGGAGCGAACAAGTTCACAAGCTTGAGGATTTAGTCTACGCCGTCAAGCATGCAGTTACCGGAGAAATGAGTTTTGATGTTTCGGATAAAGACAAGAAAGAAATAATCAAAATCTGCAAGAAAGTAAATACCTGGATAAACGATAATCAAGTAAGAATTAAAGTTCTCCGTTCTTTATTTTGTTTTTTAATTTTTAAATTTGCCTTTTCAGACAAATCCACTAATAATAATCAGTATAATTTTCGGACTAAAACATTTTCAACGTTATTATTATTTTAGAATCCACAAGTTCACGATTCGAAAAAGAAAATGACTGACCTGGAAAAAATATGCAGACCCATATTTGAAAAAATTCGAGATAGTTCTGAAATTTTGCGCATTTTTCAGAAATGAATGATTATAATTTATGTAAGAAACTATTCATTATGATATATCTCTCTAATTGAAATTTGATTAAACTACTGGCCTAATTGTATATACACCGTGATATCATTATCGTTTCTAAAAAACTTAAAAATAAAAAAAAAATTATTTTAAATTTATATCTTGTTTACTGAATAAAATATACAATTTCTACATGAATTGTATTCTATTGAAGGGAGATAGGAACCTGTTTAACTTTGGTAATGAAAATATTTAGTAATACAAACATTGGTTAGCACCCGCTATGTTAGGCCAGAGTCAATAATAAATTATCGCTGAAGTCTTCTCGCTAATCACCCGATTACTAGTTCGAAATCGATCCGCGGCCACAGTTTCGTGGGACAACGACTTGACGTTTTTGAAAGTCATTTATACTTCATAATATTTTCCATAGCAATTCAAAGACAGGAAGAATAGTAGACATACATAGAAAAAAAAATTGTAGACAAACAAACCACAACAGGTGCCAAGCTCTAATTTTAATTAATTCTTTTCAAAGAGGACGTTTCACAAGGTGTGTTCGTGCATTAAATCGTCAGAGACGTCATATTTTCTCTAATGTCACCGCAAAAATTATTGCTCCCCATACTTTCAAAGTAATTTGTAATACTTTGAATACTTATTCAATTAGCAATCAAATATTTCCGAAATAGTTGGTAAAGTGATTTACAAATAGAGCTAAATATATACATATATATCCAACTCATATAAATATAGTGCGCGTGCCATGTGCATATACAACATCAATCAATATAAATACAAATATCACAATGACTATGGAATATTACTTAAATATTTACTTGATTAGACTCATACAAAAAAAACGAAGTTTCAAAATGGAATACAGGATGATAACTATGGAATATTAGACATATACTTAATTAAACTCAATCATACAAAGTATGGACAAAATGACAATGGAAATTAACCGCGAGATACCACAATGATTATGGCGTAATATATGACTCAACAGCGACATCTGTAAAACGGATATGCCTCAATGATAACGAAGCATTGGATGTTTTGTGTATTTGCCATTAGTTGTATCTACATAGGCATATGCAATTTACTATTCGATGTGAATAACTTGTCTATATACCCCCATGACATTGATTGATGTGCATATGAGTTAGCTGTTGATGCACATGACAATCGATATATTCTTCATAGCAATATCTGACTCAAAACCCCCATAAAACTATCCGAACGTTTGAGATTTAGCATTGCAAACAAAATCCGTACTTGTGCGTGTATATGCTCTTTTTTTTAGCTAACATTTCGAAACAATATTGACAAACATTCTCAAACATTTCGAAATAATATTGACAAACGTGAAACATTTGCCATACATAAATGAATATAAATGAAATATTATCATTTCTGGTAAAACAATAAGCAGTATATGTTTGTAAGATTGGATTTTTGGTTTTTCGCCCAGTTTGAAAACGTTAATTTTAGAGTAGAACTCTTTTTTTTTGTAATCGAGCACTTGGTAGAAACGATGATGACTTTGTATAATTGAAGTAATGAAGTCATTTTTTTTCGTAAGAGGGGCTTGGTAATTCTTGCTTGTATTTTCGGGTCCTGTACGAATAAAATTTTCGAAAAACTTGGTGAACTACTTGCTCAATTTTAAATTCGTTAATGTTAGCTAATATGTTGAGCATTTTATTATTCAATTGTTTTGGATAAGATCATGTTTTAGAATTGAGATAAGTAAGAAAAGTTTGTTTCTGATTATTAAAAAAGAAACTGCGTACACGAATATGACTTAGGGAATATTCACTAATAAACGATGCTTTAATAATGTAAACAAGAGCCATACTTTTACGTGTAACGGGGCGTTTTCAAACATTTCGAAACAATAGTGACAAGCTTGAGATGTTTGCCAGACATACATATCTTGTTGATCGCGCGAGACGGGACACGTTTTTTGATTTACAGTTTTTTTTTTATGATATGACACATCTGTATATCTTGGACTATTTTTCATGGTTAGGCATCGCCGTTTTCCAAAGACATTCTATTTTTAATTCAGACTTCATAAATTGGATATATTGCCAACATCAAGAGTGTATCAGTTTTCACTTGATTTTTCTATCTGTCAATCGCACTGATATTTCATTGAATTTCTTTTATGTTCAACTATTGAAATTATATAAACTTTCATTATACTTACCGAATGAGAAAATATCCGATTAGAAGACTAAACGTCACGAAAAATCGCCTTCGCGTATCCAGTTCCTTATTTAAACAATTTTATTTGATTTTTTGTCTCGTAACTTTGGGTTCTCTGGGGATCAAATAGAAAAACGCGTTCAACAACTTTCTTAGCTTGAAATTTGTTAAGTAGCAAAAACATAGAAAGGTTGTCACAGTGTTAAGAATTACAATATCTCATTGTTTCATTTTATAAACATGTATTGTGATTAAAAATGTTAGTTTGTGCACATTTAAAGAAAAATGTAAAAAAAAGGTAGCATTTCACTGAAATACGTACAGAAATCAGACTTAAAAATATTCTCCAATTTACAAAGCTTTATTACAGTATAAGCATAGCGTTATGGAAGGCAATATTTATTTCTCAAAATGTAAGAAACTGTATATTAATAGGTACACAAGAGTTGTAATTTAGTATCTGATCAAGTAAACGCATTGATTAAACCCAACTTTTATAACATGCACATCTGTGAATATATATGTGTTGTAGAGTTTGAAGAATTATAATTTTTATTTTGTTTTTTTTATAATTTTTTTTCCCTTTTTGTTGTAATTTTTTTTTTAAATTTGCAATTACCTCAGTAGAGAAAAGTTGAAAATACATAATAATTTCAATTTTTGGGATAGTTTCATATGATTCAGTCAATCAGTCAATTAAAAATAAAGTTTGCTGTCAGAAATTCGTTGCGTTGAAAAACGTTATGATATCTTTCAGAAAAAAAAAAAAGAATGCTTTTGCCAAAATATGCGTTAGCATAAATGTAGAAAATATTTTTCCACCAAACTATTTTAAACATGAGTATAGAGTTAAACCTGTAAACCTAAACAGTGTAAAACAGCAGTGTCAAAGATAAGTTTAATAGAACTGATATGAATGGGATATTATCATTTCTGATATAGCAATAAGCAGCGCATGTTTCTAAGATGAAGTTTCGGTTATTGCTCAAGTGTGAAATCAACAAGAATATTTTAGAGCAGAAAATTATTTTCTATTATCGATTACACTTTGCTAAAGTCGATGAACTTTGTGCATTAAGTAATCATTTCACTTTTCCAAACCAAGGTGAGGCACTTGGAAAACTCCTTGCTCAAATTGTCGTTCGTATGGTGTAACTAAAGCTTAGAATAGTGTTTCCCAACCCGAGTCCGCGGTCTCAAATGAGTCCGCGGAGCATTTAGATGAGTCCGCAACGAGCCAGAAATTCACTGCGCGCTGCAAACGTTTTTGCGAAACTTAACTATGAGCCACATCGCGATTTACGTTGAAATTTACATAAAACATAATAAGCAAGTTGAGTCATTTAAACTTTAATCGAGTCAATAATTAGTTAATTACTGGTTACTGAGTAGATCTAGGCATATATTCGAATATTCAACTATTAGAATAGCAGTTTACTATTCGAAAATTTGGTAACAGGTGACGCGACTGGTCATAGGTCACAGACGATTGGATTTCACAACTCACTTGCGGATTTCCGACGAAAACACACGAGTCTGTACACGCTTCGATAGATACCTAAGTGATGTTTCTCGCGAGTTCGAACAACAAAGAATTTTTTTTTTTTTCTGGTAAGTGTCAATAGTGGCAACCCGAATTTTCTAAATTGAAAAGCGCCAATACGAAATACTAAAAATAAAACGGAGAACACCATAAGTTTTGTTTTATGATAATCCGCGACCGAATAAAATCGCTTTTTTAGACATTGCAAATCGCAAAATTTCTGATGCTACCGTACCAGGGCATTTTCCCTTAAGATTATTTGCTTCACTGCCTCCACATCGGTACGTACAGTACTGTCGTAGATGTTGTACGAACAGCTCAGATTTGTCGAATTCACAAAAATACGATAAAAAACAAAATATAACAAAACAAAAGTCAAAATATAACAATATATACAAAATATATATGCATTTTTGTGCTCACGGATTGTCATGATATTTTCTAACTGGTATTGCTTTTATTTCGACAACACAACTGCAGTTTAAAATGATCACAATTATATTAATAAAGCAAGGCGATGAATATGTATTTTTAATTTACTAACATACTTTAAATTTATTTTTAATAAGTACTAAATCAAGTTGTACTTCCTGGAAATTTATAGCAGATAGTAGGATCTAACGGCGATAACAAATTCGCGAGATCGCAAAAAATATGTTATATCACACTATTATATTCGCAGATTGCCGTGGCATTTTAGAGAAGTAATACTTTCATCTCGTCGTAAGTCAACGTAACCGCGAGTTACCATGAACACAATTAAATTAAAATAGAAAGACATTTTCAGTTCTCGTCGTTGTCATGGGTTGAATACTTAGCGACAGAAAAACGCATTGTTGAAATAATTCGTAAAAATTCTGTTGTGTTTGGTTGTATTGCTTCTTCACACAGAGTACGGTTGCAATGAACGCACCTTGAGTCCGCAAAGGTTTTCGCCGGTGATAAAATAGTCCGCGACCAAAAAAGGTTGGGAAACGCTGGCTTAGAGTAATGTTACAATGATGAAAATGTTTATAATCCAGTGTTTTGCTTCACAATGTCCTAGAAATAGGTTTATTAGGCAAGCTTTGTTTGTGCTTATTGGAAAAAAAAGAACAGAGAAATATGGCTCAGGAATATTTAATAATGCGCGAGACTTACGCTTAAAGTTATTTTACAACATATTAACTTTTCATAATGTAGGGAAACTTTTTATTAATAGGTACATAGTGATTCTACTTAGGTATTTAATATCATTTATTTTACGACTCTGACCTCATAAGATTTTGCAAACGTCGGTATTAGTATACGATTATCAGTATCAAAAGTATGGCGTATGATTTGATCGAGTATTTTAAACAAAAGCCATATTTGTACGTGCATGATCTTTTTTACCCCACGGACCGTTCGCAAACATTT